TGGGAATGATGTGGGAAAAATGAATGTCACATTCGTGATGAACATCATCAACTAATCTTATAGATATAATTCGGTCTGGGATAAATTTTCCAAGACTTGATACCGTAATAGTCAAACAATACCGAATGTTCTATCTGATGGTAGCCATTGTCTGAAACTTACGCAGCTGAGTGTTCGCCACTGCTACGGAGAAGCTCCTTGCTGTCGGTGTAGATATCGCGTGCACGAGCGAGAGCAGGGAAAAAGTCACTTGTAATGGTTCCATCTAAACAGAGGAAAGTTATAGGTTTTATTTAACCCTGATTCTTGATAGGGCCTTACTCTAGGGAGTGTTTCATCGGCTTATGACTTCGATTAATGAGGAAAACAAACCGAAAATAAACAGTAAACAAAGACGAAGTCATAACATAGGGAGAAAAAACATGCTGATATGATCAAGATCACCGTTCGTGTTCCCCTCAAGCGCTCTTTTCTCGCTCTCGTTGAGCGAAAATCGTCCAAGGAAATCATCTATAGCCTTTTGCTTCGATTCCAAACGTTTTCTGCAAAATGTATACTGTTCGAACCATTTCATTATAGAAGTTTACTTCGCTATACAAAAAACTGACTTTTGGTTTTGCAAAGCGCTGGTTTTACTGAGAAGATCCTGCGTCTTTTCTTTGTTTTGCTGTATGCGATTTGTTAGGTCGGAACATATTCTGTGCATAGTACGGACTTTCTCAGCGAAATCTTGTACATGTGCGTTCACCTACAATATAAGAATGAAGCGGACTGTTTTTCTACGAAATTAGATGCAAAATAAATATCTACGGCTCATTTCAGTCCTATTCCCTCTCAGGGTTAACACTTGCAACCATAACTGATGTTTTTTTTTTTCGTTCCGCACTCATCTTTTTCCAACTGCAGATACCCTGCTTGATATCAACTTTGGGTAGGGGCTATCAACTTGCCATACTGCAATCCCATACCACTGGACTGCACTGTGCTCAAAAAACCTTACTTTCATTGAAGAGGTCTCAAAACCAGTCCTCGGCAAGGGACTCATCAACGCAGACTGCAATACGATGACGATGACACACATTTTTAAATAGGGACGGTAAGAATCATGCACTTAACTTTTCAATTTCGTATAGAAACAATGGAGCCTTGAACGACTCAGTTTTATGTTTTGTCTAGCGGTTTCGCGGTTATGAGCGCATGCTTTCTCTTACGGAAAGTAGACACGCTCCATATATAAAAAAAAGTCTTGCTTTTTCTAGAATACCCTCTTTCTGATTTTGCGTAGTTAATAATATCATATCCTCTTCATCCTCAATCCATCTAGAGGCCCCTGATGAATGAATAAACGGACACCTGAAATTCTACCAAGTATCGTGAAGCTGGCCCGAGTGAATGTGGACTCCGCAGCCTCTGTGGTTCGCGTCAGCAAATAGAAAGTGCGAGAAATAATGAGATTAAAAATGCAAAAATCAATTCATGGCAGCTAGATAACAGAAACCTAACAATACAGCAAATACAGGAGACAAAAAGTAAACAAAATCAATCAATCAACAGGCGGATGAATGAATAATACCTTCTCGAACTCCTGCAAATATTCCTTATTCAACTGCATCTGGCGTTTTTCAAGATTACGAAGGAGACGACGTTCTGTGTGTATATCAAGATTCTCTACCATAGGAGCCACATATTCCACTACTTTCAAGAATTCCTGAAAAAAACTCAATTTCGAGAGCATCCTCAGTAATTACACTTTCCGGTGAAAAGAGAAAACAAGAGGAGATTGAAAAAAGTTAGCAACGCATTCATTCTTCAGGGACCGGTTTTACGGCTTGCAGGAACTCAAATTTACTTTCTGCAAAAGCAAAAGATAGCAGAAAGTATTGCTAGAGGTTCAATGGAAAACTTTCAATGCAACGATAAACTAGCGAAGCGGTTTATACTAGTTTGTCGTCCGGTAAAACGTAGGTTCTGCGCGCTTCCGCATGACGCGACGTATTTCATACGTGAAAATACTGTAGGAAAATGAGGAATCAACGTCAAGAAATGTCCAGAGGTGGTGGACGGATATAGAACAATTCGTGAAAAAGGGAAACCCACCGGATCATTATGCAATTTACTGGCAACAAGTTTGTCGATTCTTCGTTTGATTGGATTCGTCACTGAAGCTGTACTGTCAACTGAAGGGGCTG